AACTTGGGGAGGAAAGGGTTTATTTGTCTTGCAAGTCCATACCACAATCAAAGGCAGTCACAGTAGGAACTCTAGGCAGGGAACTGGAGGTAGGAATTGAAACAGAGGACATGCCAGATTGCTGGTCTCTGGGTTGCACCCCATGGTTTGCTCGGCCTTTCTTAAAAATTCTAGCACATCCTTAATTAAGACACTACCCCACAGATGGACCAACAAAAATCATTTTATAGAGACATTTTCTCAATTAAAATTCCCTCTTCTCAGATATGTCTGGGTTTGTGTCAAGTTGACAAAAAAAAGCACAATATGTTCATAAAAATATCCACCCACACACAAAAGTGTACTGTTAAAGTTTCTCTGTTGGGTTTTAAGCTGTTGTCATCAGTAGTAAAGACTGTTCCTATATATTCAGCAAAATCAGATTACTGACATCAAGAAAGACAAAAATGTACTATCAAGTGTTTGAAAAACACCTCAACAAACCAGGCAGTTGGAACTGAATATTTCTTCTAGAAAGTATAGCTATTCTGCACCCAAAGGTATCAGTGATAGCTGCTTTCAAGCATTAGACAAGCCACTAAGTAGCCTCTAAAATCATGTCTTAAGATAAACTTACCTTAGAATCAAAGCATTAAGCTCTTTGCATAAAGTCCAAAAAGAGTTTCAGAAATCAAACATTTTTTTAAGGGCTCAGAATATAGTTCAGTGGTTCTTAGCACTACAATAAAAACAAAAACCTTTTCAAAAATAACTCCTTTAAAATTTAAAGGTTTGTTGTGATTTCTAGTATGATGTTTTTATTTATAAGTTTTAAGATGATTAAGTGTTATGACTAGTCTTGTGTCAACTTGACACAGCCTTGAAAGATAGGAACGTCGATTGAGAAAATCCCTCCTAAGATCAGACTGCAATGGAAGGGAAGGAGGGAGGAGGAACTGAGATTGGAATGTAAAAAATTAATTTAAAAACTGAACAACAAAGAAAAAAAAATCAGGCGGCTGCAAGTGACTCTGTAGTCACTCAGACCCTGTAGTAATTAGTGACTGATGGGAGAGGACCCAGACCATTTTGGGTATACCACTCCTGAGCTGGTGGTCCTTGGTTCTATATAGAGGCAGGCTGAGCAACCCATGAACGCAAACGAGTAAGCAGCACCCTCCATGGCCTCTGCATCATCTCCTGACTCTAGGTTGCTATCCTGCTTGAGTTCTGCTCTGATTTCCTTCAATAATGTACTAACTACTATTTGGAAGTACAAATCAAACAAATCCTTTCCTCCCCAACTGTTGTGTGATAAATACTTCTTCTGGGGAGATACAACACACACCTATATCTACTTAACCCAGACAGAGATCCCTGTAAGAGATTGGTATCTGCTCAAGACGTCCAAGACCAAGTTCTCAGCACAGAAGAGATGTATTTGCTCCAGAGGGACAGAGGGCAGGGAATAACAGTCAAAAGTAGGAGATAGAGGACACAGGAAGGGAGGGAGGGAATTAGGTAGAAGGGGCAGAGATATTTGTCCTGGAGAGGAACCAAGAACTGTGTCTAGATAGAGGGGTAGCAGTTAGGATGAGGTGTTTCATTTCAATTGGGCATGTTAATTAGGTGAGCCAACGTGGGGCTTTTGACTGATGGACTTCAATACTTTGATAGCTGGACCTTGGTAGTCAGCCTCAGGAGGAGGACGTGGCCAAAAAAAAAGTGAAGAGACCTTGGTGGCTAGCTTTAGCCTTGATGGCTAGCTTTAGGAATGTAACCTAGCATTCTTGGGCAAGACAAAGGTGTAAGACCCTCAGAATGAGGAGTCTTCCAGGTTCGGTCGATACCCCAAGAACTCAATGTCCAGTCCAGTTGCTGCAAAACGCAAGAGGCTTTAACGAACAGGAAACATTTGCGCAAACGGGCTCCTCCAGCACGCAGGCTAGAGAGAAGCCCCCTCCCCTGGGCCCAGGTGTTTTTAAAGGCAAACCCACAAGCTTAGGGAGGGGGTGAGACCCTCTGTCCATTGAGTATGTGACCCTTGGAGGCAGGATGGTCAGCTATTAGGGTCAGCAGACCTTAGGGCCTCAGGTGTGCTAATTAATCTTGTCTGGGCAAACCAGAGTTACAACTATCTCTTTGTTTCCTAAGGACCCTATTTACCACCTGTTGACTCACAGGAAAGGAGGGGCAGAAAGGAGGGGCAGTGTGAATTCTTATCTCAGGGCCTTGTGAGAGGAAGCTAGCAAATTCCAAGAACAGATATTGGTTTCCAGGTTAGCCCATCATTAACATTACTTTTTAGGTCTTTCAAAGGGAACAGAGAGAAGGGCAAGGCCTGCCAGAGCCATGTGCTAGTGTGCTAGTGTCAAGACCAGCGTACAGATGCCACCCAAGTCCAACTCTGTGAACCAGTGAGCTTTATTGGAGTTCCTTACAAAAGCAGAAGGACCCAGACAGCTGCATCACCAAGGCCCACTCCAGTATGGACAACAGCTCACAAAGGCAGGGAAACCTAGAGCATGCCACAGTCTAGAGCGGCCTTTCCAAGTGACTCTGGTCTAAACCTCTTCTAGGCAGCTGAGCTGGTTTTTACTTGTTCCAAGCAGCCTGGTCAGAATCTCTTTGCAACTCTAACCCCCCCACCCCCCCACCCCCCCACCCCCGGTTCTTTTTTGTAGCTCAGCTTGCTTGAGTCTTCATTGCAGATTAGCTTTTTCCTCTGAGCTTTTATTATTTACCCTGGCAAAGGGGTACCTAGGGAATCTGGTTTTAGGGACTTCCCTGAAGCTAGTTTTTGCCTTTTTGTTTAAAAAGCTTCCCTGCAGGATGGAATGTTTTAATCTTGGAGAAACTACTACAAGCACCTACTTGCTTTTGGTCATGATGCTTGAAAACAATAGAAACCCCAGGACCAATTTATAAAACAGTTTGTGTATGTGTCCAAATACATACAGCAGTTCCTGTGCACACATACAACAGTTCAAAGTCATCGGGGGATAACCCTGGGTGTGGCTCCTTGCCTTTCGTCCTGTATTTTTGAGATGTGGTCCCTGTTTACTACTAAAATGCCAGAGTAATCGGCCATCAAGCTTCCAGGGAGTTGTCTCCATCTCCCACCTTGCTATAGGAATGCTATAGCTTTCATAGATCCACAGAGTCAGACTTCGACCTTCACACATGCAGAGCAAACTCTAGGATGATCTCCCAGTACCAAATTATTTTTTAATAGGATGACTCTCACTTAAAACTTTTTTTGAAGGGGGGGAACATTTCTTTAACTCCAGCACTAGGGAGGCAGAGAGAGGTGGATTTCTGAGTTCAAGGCCAGCCTTCTCTATAGTTCGCTCCAGGACAGCCAGGAGGCAAAGAGAGAAACCCCATCTCAGTCAGTCCAAAAAAAAAAAAACAAACAAAAAAACAAAAACAAAGAACAAAACCCCCCAAAAGATCACTTTTTTAAAATAAACAATGTAATTTTAAAAGATAAAAATTTCACCCACAATAGTTTAAAATATTTCATCTCATTTTTGTCTTATGTGTACTAGTATATGACTACATGTTTGAATTTGGCGGATGTATGTTTGCAGAGGCCCTGGCTTTGGACACACACACATACAGACTCTCTCTCACACACACAACTCGTAACTGTAACTCTACCTTAGTGGTCCTCGACTTTCCTAATGCTTCGATCCTTTAATGCAGTTCCTCCTCAAGCTGTGGTGACCCCAACCATAATTTTTTCTATTGCTACTTCACAAATGCAATTTTGGTAGCTGTGAATTGTACAGTAATTATCTGATATGCAGGTTATTTGATATGCGACCCCAGTAAAAGGGTCTTTCAACGAACGCCTCCAGGAGTTGGGACCCACAATTGAGAACTGCCGCTCTACTTCTAGATTAGAGGTCTTCTGGTCTCTGCATTTGCTGTATGAACATGGCACATATAAACTCAGGCACACATATACACAAGTTTTTTTTGTTTTGTTTTGTTTTGTTTTTTAGTTGAAAATGTGTAAGTACACACACCGAACACTCCATGAAGCACAAAGGCAGATGGCAGCATTTATACAGCATTTGTATATGATTGTGTCCTTAAAAGAAATTTCTCCATCCCTAGAGGTGTAGAGTCATATTGTCTTTTCTGTGCTGTGCATTTAAAATTAATTTTTAGTCCATCTGGGCTTTCTTTGATGAATGGTATGACAGCATCGATTTAATTTTCTCCAGCAGTTTTCAATGAATAATTCCTCATGGCCCGAATAACTCTTAAAAGCTCGTGTTAATATATGCATCATTCCTATTTTTACCCATTACCCTGTCTATGTTTACACCATTGTAACTGTTTAAGTTTAATAGTAGTTTTGAAAAATGTGATGTATCTTTTTAGTACAGCAAGTTCCTATTTTCTTTCTTCTTTCAATGGGCATTTTTTCTATTTTCACATGAAGTTTTCAATTTAATTAAAAACAGGCTTTTGGTCTTTGTAACGGCTTTGTATAAATTCATATTAATCCAAAAGGAAATGACATGTTTACAACAGTCAAAATGTTCTTATTATCAAAAAATGCTTATGAGCTTCTGGGCTCCTCCACCAAGGAAATCATGCCCCATTATATATGCCCTATAGCACATGCACACAAACATCACATGTCTAAAGCACATGCACACATACTACACCTCCAGTACGTTCATACATATACACTAATCTACAGTACATTCATATATGCATACTACATACACTCACAGTACGTGTGCACACACACTATACCTACAGTTCACTCATACTTACACACTATACACTACACCTACAGTACATGCTTAAATACTATAATGCCTAAAACACTTGGAACAGTTTCGTAGTCACTGATCTAGAGGTTAAGGCTGACTGTGTTGTGTCTAAGTTGTGGCTACCATGTTACCAGTACCCTGTAAGTGGAACTGAACAGCTATATTAACACAGTGAACCAGGTTTCAGAGCTGGGACATCTAGGATGCACAAAACTTAAAAACAAGTTTAAGGACATTTATACAAGGTTTATTTTTCATTAACCACAATGTTTTAGTGAGAATATACACCTAATACAGAGGAGTGATTCAAAATCCACCAAATGTTTATAAGGAGAGAGCCCAGGCCAGCAGCTTTGTGCCCCAGCTCAGGAAGCGCTTTAGTCATGTTCTGTGAATGAATGAGTGGCAAAGGATAGTACCAGATTTGCCATGCCTCGTGATAAAGGGTAGGGAGACTAGACAGCAATGCTTCATTCACTCTGCTATGCTGGTGGGTGGCAAAGCTTTTTGCCTGCACGTGATCTCCAAATTTTGTATAAGCATTTGTTTGAGCCACAGTTTCTCAGGACTTGACATAAATTTCTCCACAACTGCACAGCTGTAACATTGACAAATAAGACTAAAAGAGCCAAGGATACTGTCAACCATCCAACCAAACACACCCAGGAGAACATCCAGTCTTACTGCAATTTAGTATAGTGACAGTATTTAAATGACACAGAACACCCAATACACGATATTTTTTCCAAACCACTGCACTCTCTACCCCAGAGCCATGCTGCTGAAATTCCCAGAGGTGTGATCCATCAGCACTCTCCTAACAACGAATCCAGATGAAGATAAGTGGCAGACACCGCCCCCCCATCCCCCATTCCTGCCACCAGCCCTGGTTCAAGTTAAGGTCTCAGCTAGTGCAGGAAGGAGGAGGCAGTGACTGTAGGTGAGCAGCAGGGGGACCAGGGAAGAGGCATTTCCTTTGGGAAAGATCAGGTACCTCCTTCCAAATGTTATGGGGTCAGAAACCAAGGCAAATTTCTACATGGTAGTTAAAGCTCAGGCGCCATTTCTCTATGAACCCTGGCGCCTCCCGGTAAAAATGAACGTTATTTTGCATGGTCATACTGAAAGCAGTAATCACAACAGAAAAGGTACTCTAGACTTGTGCCGGGTGTCAGTTAATGGTGTCACATTCCAATTTTAATGTCCCCTTAAGAGACCTACACTTGGATAAAAGCAAATATTCCAAGCCAAAAGCTCAAGGGATACACCACAAAAACAAACATCTAAACACTAACAGCTGGATAGCTAACGCAGGGTTTGTTTTGCTTTTTAGTTGTTTATTATGCCAAATTAGTATATTCTATGAACATATATTCAAAGAATAATGCTTAGTTTAATGTTGGCTGCTTAATAAACAATTGAATCTTAGCTCAAGGGCAATTCCTCTTGCATATTAACCATGGAAATAATTAACTGTTGTGAGAGAGAGGAAAACAAAACAAACAAACACAGCCTCAATAAGACAGCACAGTCTAGGTTATTTACAGGAAGAATCAGGAGGTCACTTAAACACTCTGTGCCCCTCTTCCCATTACCTGCATAAACAGTATCATTTGCAAGCTCACCATGGCCTGTGCTAGCAGGTATATGAAGCCTCTTGTGCTATAACCTTTGATGCTGTTTGGTCTATACAGAATACATTGAAGTGAGGAGTGTGCAAACTGTTCCTGAGGAATCATTCATGTGTGCAAATTTGCAACCTGACAGAAAGCAAACGGGTAGGGGATGGGGCGGGCCAGCAGCTACACTGGTCTGAGCACTGGAGACATATAAGCAGTGCCATGACCATGACCAAGGGCAGGCATTCCTCAGCACTCTCACCTACACACAAACCAACTTCATCCTAGCAAAAGGGAGAGTAAGTGAATTGTAACTGAGACCAGAAAAAAGACATTTCCACAACTTTCTTTAAAGGCCTACTTGTAGGCAAACCTACACACTTGCCACACTGGCTAGCCAATCTACACCATCTGGCCTTTGAGGATCTGACTTAGAAAGCAGTCTTCAGCAGGGGTAGAAAAACTGCACACTGCACTGGCAAGAACACAAGCATATATGAAAAGAAAATATTTTTCTACAAATACTAAGTGGGAGCGAGCAGATTTTATTTCCTCACAGTTGAGGACTAAGAATTCTGTCAAGACTTCAATGAATGAGTAAGCAAGGCCCAATTTCACCTTCAGTAAGTTTTACAAACTTCAGGGATCACACACATACTTTTCCCAGACTTTGACTTAGAGAATCCCACAGGCTTTCCTCTGCCTATTGTGTGCTAACATAGAATGAGTACGTCTATTTCTCCATTAACTTAATAATGCAAAAGCACCCACTTTAATGCCAATTTATGTACTATAACGCTTTTATAGGGAAAGTTCTGTTGGATAAAAAGAATGCTCTCCTTCAGGGGAGGGAGGGTAAAAATTAGACACTGGGCCACTTACCTATGTCTCAAGAAATGTTCCAACTTTACTACTGTCAAAAATATTAAAGGCATGTAGAAGAAACCAGTTCCAAATGGTATTTACAACCTTGTAACAAACATTCCAACGGAAAAGCAAACTTTGGGCTTCTTGATAAAATGAAAATTTCCCTTGACATTAGAGAAAAAAAAAAAAACAAAACTGTATGGGCCATAATTAGAGCCTGCCTGTCCTCACTCATGGTTCAATATAACCCAAGTAAAATGAAACCAATTAAAGACCCCACAAATTCTACCAGCTGCAGAGGCCATCACTCACAAATCTGGGACTGCTGTTAGGCAACCTTCTTGCCCCCCTGCCCCTTTCTTACTCTTCTGCCCACTGAGTTCGCAGTAGTAGCATGGGGGGCAGGATGGGGGGGGAGGGGCAATTCTCTATAGAGGGTCAGAGTCACTGCTGGCTAAAGCCTGGCAGCACACCTCACATTCAAGCAAAATTGAGAAGAAAAGTATTTTTCCCTCACCATGTCAATTCTTGTTTACCACTGAAAAACAGCTAGAGTAAGCGTCAGATGTTTGTGAAGATCTAAAGAGCACTGTTGGTGTAGTGAAACAGAAAATACAGATTTGTCGCAGCTGAAGGAAGCCTTCAGACACCAGTGCAACTATCCCCCGCTGTACTCAAATATCAACCATGACGTTTACAAGATGCATGGCACAGTTGATCTTTTGTAAATTCTAAATGCACCCATTAAAATGTGATGGGCCAAGAACTACTCACAATATTTGGCTTTAATAACTATTTCTCCCTAGAGGGATCCAGAGAGCAGCTCCCACTGCTGGACAATCTCTACAGTATCACAGTCCTGAACCAGGACTCCACCCAGACTACAGAGGCTGGTAAGATCAGGTGAGGCAATAGCAGAAAAAAAACCACTCAGTAAGAGTTGGTCCCCATGAGAACTGGGACAGGAGGGTGAATTCTGACCCTTGTCCTGCTACAAAGCCACACCAGAGGCCTTGGTGGACCCATTGGGGATATCAACTTCTCCGGGAAGCATTGTGAGTTTGATGACAAGGTCCCACAGTTGCAAAGTGCACAAAGCTCAAGGCACAGAGTTAAAAACGTGAACTGATTGGAAAAGTTGTAGTGAAAGCAGTTATTAGCATTTTTCCTCGTAAGACTAATGCTAAACATAGACCAATTCTGAATTTAAAACAGATTATTTGGGACATGGATGAAAATACTGTATTGTCACATCTGCTTGGTTCTAAAGCAAAGATATTTTGACATGAGACAAAGACACCATGTGCCAAGTCCACAAATGAACGATGAGTGTTTAAAAATTAAGATTCTTTCACTGTTGTATTTTTTTTTTTGGAGGAAGCTGATTTGCATGTTGGGCTTCACTTAGTAATGGCCACTCTCCAAGACACTCGCTCTGTAGATAAAACTCATTAAAAGATTGTCCTATTTCAAAATCACCCCCAATCTAGCAGCAATTGTTTTTGTAGTTCTTGTTTTTGAAAACTGAACGGCCTTTTGACAGAGCTCCTGAGTGGTGCAGGCCCAGCAGTGCCCAGAACAGTTTCTGCAGCTCCAGTGTGTCTTCTCTCCGGGAGAAAAGTCCTTCAACAGTCACTATCTATATCCCCTGGAACTTGCACAAGCGGACGGACTGTCTGAAAAACAAAGGTCAGAAGGAAAACCATGAGGGACAGCGAGCACTCTGTTCACAATAAACCACTTTTCTCCTGATCCCCATATCTCTGGTGTGTTTATTTTAAAACTCTGAAAAAAATAACAAAGTTCTGAGAGAACTGAAAAGGAGTCGGTATCATCAGGAACTGATCTTGGGGCATTATCCCAAAGAATCTCCATGCCGTGCCATGCCATCTAGACCACCACCTCTACCCACATGGTCTCCATACTCATCCTCAGAAGCTGGCCCACATCAAAAACCTATCAAAACAGGAAAAGCATCATCACTTACTATAAGCCAACTCATCCCCAGCTCTCTTCCGGGACTGGTCACCTCTAGGGAATAGAAGGAAGAAGTCAACAAAACTAGCTGGTTTCTTTACAAAAGCATTAGAAATAAATCCATGTACGTGACAGCAAATCCTTCAGATTCTAACCCAAAAGCCTAGCCTGTATAAACAGACATTAAACGTCAGCGGAGTTATTTACTACAAGTACTCTACCCTCAAAGGTACATGTAGTCTGTTAAATATAGAAAGTTATTAAATGAAGGATCATCTATAAGGACAGTTTATGCTAAGGACTAGGAACAAGCTAAAGTATGTCTTTGACGACAACCTCAGGTTCTACCAACATTATTCCCAATAATCTGCACGTACTAGCAAGACTTTAAATATCGAACAGAGGAATTAAAAATCTTCCCCTCAAGCCCCAAACTGAGACTCTCAAAGTCTTTGGAAGCCAGAAACTAAAGTGCTTGAAAAGCCTTGTGGGTGGAAGATGCAGTGCCCAGCCTAGCCTCAGAAGCCTAGAAGTAGTCAAGTTCTGCACTGCAGGTAAGAGTGGTTGTGAATAGGCTGCATGCCTCCCATGCATCACACTCTGGCTTTCTGGCTTCAGACACTAACCCAAACTGCAGTGCTTAACAAAGAGCAACAATGGCTCCAGTTACTCATCTCTCAGCCAAGGGTGCAATCATCCCTCCTTCCTCTGACCCTCTCCCACCCACTGCTGGTGCCCTTTGTTGGTGTGGCTTAACACTGTCCCAGGCCACCTTTTCTTCTCCCTATATATTCTTCCCTCCTTTCTAAGATGCAGACCGTACCAGTCTGGGGCTCAGAGATTTACAGGCAGTTCTGATTTCTGACTATCTGAGATCTGTAGGTTCAGCATTCTCATCAGTAAATGCACACTGAAAATTATCATACCCAGTACATAATGTCTATTCAGCGTTATCCCTAAATCATCTTCAGGCTTGTAATAGTCTAGAATCTAAAGAGCCAGAGTGAGCTTACATAAGGCATAAACAAGGTTAGTTCACACCTCTGATTAAAACTCTTCATAACTTTCATTCATTTCAGTTCAAAATCAATTCCAATTCATTTCCCAGCCAGTGTCATGGCTCTGAACTCTCTCTCCCACCTCATTCCCCAGCCCTTATCACCTCTGCTTATTGTATGTTGGTTAGCCTTTTCTGTTTGCCACTCCCTTCCCAAGGCAGTCACACAGCTGTCTCTTCCTCTTCACCTCAGCTCAGTCATCCCCTTGGAAGCCAACACCATGGCACTGATAACCCCCAACTCTACTACTTCATTCTCTAACTCTCTTCACAGTGTTTATCTTTAACTTGAAACTGTATTTTTACAAGTTTATCATTTGTTTGCCAATAGTAAACCGTAAGTGAGGACTTGACCTGCCTTGTTCACCTTGGTGCTTTCTAGCACATAAACACTGGAAATGTATCTCCTAAATTAACAAATTGGTTTAAAATGCTGACCTGAACACCCCACTTTTCAATTAACCAAACAATATCTGATTACTAAATCAATGCTAATTTTGAAATATTGTAAGATTTTGGATAAATTTCCAGATATTTCAAGTTTATTCTTTTTCTAATTGCTTCCAACCAGCTAAGCTAAGGATCCTTGATGATTGGCATAGTGGCCATAAGACATGACTGGGAGGTATATGATCTTTTACAGTGAGAATGTAGAAAAAAAAATTCCACTGTATTGTCCCAAGAATAGCCCTAAGTAGCCTAAAAAGATTTCCTACCAAGCCAGACAAGTGATTTATGTCGTTATAATGCTGATTAAAACTGAAGATACAAAACTTCATATCTGGAACCTCACTTCTAAACAAAGCATCCATTCCTACCTCCTTCACTGGTTAAACAGAAACAGAAGACATCCAAGGGGAGAAATTGCAATGGGAAAACAGAAGGAAGAAAGTAACTGATGTACATGCTAAAGACTACTGACTCGTGAAGCCTATCAGCTGTACACTGTGCTCTGCTATGAAGTAAAAGAAGCCCAAATTCAGGGGCCACCCTCTCAGCTAAAACACAAAACAATATCAGTACCTTTACAAGGGTCTACTGTACTCCAGAAACTGAGGTGTCCTCTTCTTTGATGAAGCATCTTCTTTGCCTTTACAAAATGTTTGGTGGGCTCTAGGCTGACCTGAGTGGTACACTCCAGCCCTGGGATCATGTTTTCTGTTTCTCAAAAGGCTATTTCTGACAGCAGACACCAATCCATTCCCCCCTTCAACAGATTAAATTACCCACAAGAGAAAGATCATAATGCTTTGAGCTTACAGGTGTCTATTTTAGTTTTGAAATAACAGTCTTCCCTGTACTTCCATGCATCTAAAGACCTACTACAGAGGGAATACATCTGAAGACATTTGCACATTATATAAAAAATTTCAAAAATTTTGATGCAAAATGAAGAGCTTGGAATACCAACAAAGAACCACAAACTTGGGTGAAGTAAAATTCACAAAGTACTGCTCATGCCCAAATAGAAGTGAAAGACTTATTTGATAACCTGTATATTTTTGAGTTGTTTGTTTCCTCCCCTTTCACATCAATGAATGTTATTTCTCTATACAACAATCCTAGCTAGAGAATGACTAAAGAGAACCTAAGAGTGACAGGGTATATTACATAAAAGGACCATGACACAAGCAAAGACAAACTTTCAGTTCAGCCTGGCAGTTCTTTCTAGTGGGTGGTTAAATAAGGGGGAGAAAAAGGGTCATAGGATATCAGCTTTGGCAGACTACTCTATCCAAAGTACCATTCAGAATCGTTTAGAAGACAGGGTTTAATCCTCATAGTAAATGTGTAATATGGTATTAACTATAAAAGTGGCTTGATTAAGTTTGTGCTATAAGACATTTCAATTTTACTACCTCTTAGAATATGAACTAATACTTAAAACTCAGCTAAAAGCTGTTTTAAAGAACCCCATTAAGAGTAATAAAAATTCTAATTTACACCAAAAGCCCAAGGCAGTTCCTTGATCCCCTCAGCCTTGGGAGCACAATACTGAAATAGTTCTTCCAAAGCAACAACAACAACAAAAAAAAAAAAAAAAAAAAAAAAAAGAGTTCTGCTATTTGTTTCATCTCAACCCAAGCTGACATGAGAGCCAATCACCTAGCAGCCCCACACCCTGTTCACCTGTTCTAGTCCCCAAGCTAGGACTAGGAGACAACTCTGGATGAACCGCAACAGCTCAGTGACAAACACAAGAGTAGGTTTTCAAAAGGCAATGTAATTTTTTAAAGGTGGGGGGAGTATCTAGGGGTTAAAGAGATGGTTCTGTGGTTAAAAGCATTTGGCTCTTGCTAAGGCCCTGGGTTCAGTTCCCAGCACCCACACTTGAGCAAAAGTCCAACCTGTTACTCCAACACTAAGGGGATCCCATGAATCTCATTAACAGTGAAATAAAAGTATCTAAGGCAAAATGTAATTATAATACAAACTACAGAAGTCACAAAAAAGCCTTACCATAAAACAAAAAAAAAACCCACTTTCTCATGATTAAAAGCAAAGCCAAAAAAAAAAAAAAAAAAATGAGGAATGTATCTTGAACTATGAGCCAACTTTTTGACTATATAAAGAACTCCTAGAAATCAAGAAAAAAATACTAAGAGAAATGACAAAGGACATAAAAGTTAACAGAAAAATGAATGCAAACATGTGCTCAGATTTGTAAGAGAAATGTAGCTTTAACTTATTCTGAGTAGTTCTACACTTTTCTAAAATATAATTATACTCATGTATACAATGTGTGTAGCCCAGAATGGCAGTGTCAATCACATTTTCAATTACATATACCCTTGACCCAGCTAAGCTACAGCACAGACTAAGGCATTATTTTACTTCTCCATCACAGCTGTCTATATTACCAAGTAACTAATAAGGCCTAGTTAAATAACTATACCATCTAATAGTCTAATTAAACACATAGTGTACTATATTGGGGGGGGGGGAGAATAAAACAAAACAAACAAAAAACCTTAACAATGATTACTTATTGGGTAGGAATAGACAAGTGGAAATAAAAATTACTGTTTATTTTTATATTATTGAAAAATGAATATAGGAAGGAAGGGTTCCTGAGGCTCCAGCTGAAGAGCTACTCATTTGACAGATGCTTTAATACTGGGATATGCAGGATTCATCAATGTCAAAGAGAAAAGCCATCTGCTTACATCCAATCAACACGGGTCTTCACTGACACCCCCGATATATGTATATACACTGTTAGGGAGGGAAGAAAACGGCCTGTGGAATTCTTGGTGCTTCCTTACAACTACCTTGCAACTATAGATGCCACCAAGACCACACTCCCAAGGCAAGAAAGTCCTATTTGTGGACTGACAAAACAAAATGTCCTTTCTTTCTTAACCAGTAACAGATAAGTAAGCAACCATGGTAAAGGCTTTTGTTTTGTTTTGCTTGTCTATTTTGGTTTGTATGTTTCTGAAATTCAGTTTGGCCTCAGAATTTTTTAGAGGAATATGCATTCCTGTCCCATCAGATAATCAGGTCAACAACACTCAATCTGATGCTTGGGTCTTCTTCCTCACAAGTTTCGTTAAAACGTTAGGTATTCAGATACCAGAATAAAAATTATAAAAATAAGTTACTAAGTGTGCTTTACTTCCTGACATAACCAAGAAAAATCACCAAACTTTTATGTTAATTCATTCCAATTAAAAAAAAAAAAGAAGAAGAAAAAACAAAATATAAAACAAACCCATACTTTCTACAATTTCTCTGGGGTATAACCATAACAAGGACTCGCAAACATTTTAGAAGAATAAACATATACACCAAAAGCAAGGGAAAGGAGTTTTCTGGACATTTGTAAGGAGATATTCTACTTTTAAAGAACATTTAGATTTAGACAAAACATGGCAATAATGTTTTTCATTGTGTTCAGGATCAACCTGAGAGCCTTCAAAGCTGGAAGGCCTTGTCCCATCTAACTGCACGTTCTTCAAAATGCACACAGAAATGCACAGCTCCTACCAGTTCAACAGCTGGGGCTGTCCAGACAAGGAACTCACAGCCCCAGCACTAGGCACTCTCTGTAGCCAAGCCAGAAGTCTAGGGAAGTGGGCTACTATTGTCACTAAAAGAAAGGCCAACTTGCCTGGTGAAACCATTCTGTATAAGTTCTCTCTGAAGTTTCTGATCTTGAGCGGCATATTCAGAAAGTTCAGATTCCACAGCTGGAGGCAGAATGTTTGGAATAAACTTAGAAAACAAAGTCGGAGCCATCTGAACCCATTCTGTGAGGGAAAACATATGATTCGTTAAGAAAATAACACTAATGAAAGAAACAAGTTTCTTATTTAAACAACAAAATATATATTGAAAAACTTGGTTCAGCCCTATTTTGGTGAACACATAAATTATGTATTTTCTTTCTAAAAAGTATAAAGAAAATGGACATTCTTTTTATACTGGTTCAAGAAAACTGAATGAAAATCTATAACTTTTGGATAAATCTTGTAAAAAAAAAAAACTATGCAGATGTAGGAAAACACTAATAATTATATCACTAAGCAATTGGAAGTGGAAGAGGATGTGGAGGGAAGCAGTTTGATGGCAAACAAGCTCTATGAGCCATTAACTCAAACAACACACCAGCCCAAGAGAGAGAAGACCGTGCTTCGGAGGAAATAGTACATATAAACCAAAGAGGAAACAACCCAAACAGGGGCAAGGAGGTGGAGAACTAGGTAGTGCTTTGGAATAAAAATTTTTTTGACCCCTTTTAAATTCAACTCCATAGGGGTGGGAGGGGGGAGGGTGCACAACAGTAAAGGTAAAGAGGATTATATGGTTATCAAGAGAAAAAACAAAACAAAATAAAATGAAAGGGCAAAGAGAGGTCGTAGGAATGTATTTCCACCAGACATAACAAAGGCGTGTATTAGAGTATTTGTACAAATTGGGTTCTGGGGTGAGTAAAAGACAGGAATGGGCCAGGTGGTGGTGGAACACACCTTTAATCCTAGCACTGGGGAGACAGAGGCAGGTGGCTCTCTGTGAATTTGAGGCCAGCCTGGTCTACAAAACAGGTTTCAAGACAGCTAGTAGTGTTACATAGAGAAATCCTGTCTCGAAACAAACAAATAAAAGACAGGAATGGATTATTCGAAGGAAAAAAATACACAGCATTAAGTAAGCTTGCTAATTTTAATTATCCAAGGAAAAACACACATGTGGACTACTCCTCCACTCAGGATGGAACTGCTACCTGGCCTCCTGAACAGATCTTCCCTGAGCACTATTCAGCCTTTGCCAAGTTTTTCAGGTTAGGACTTTCAAAATATCCCCTTTATAAACATTCTGGATGTTTATACTCAGAAAACATGAAAATGCCAATGCTCTGTAAAGCCAGTGAGCCCTCTTTAAAAACTTCAATCTGAAAGCCCACATTCTGTGTGATGGTAGTCAATGACAAGTAAAAAAGTAGGTAAACAAACAAAAACAATATCCAATTAAAGAAGAGCTAAAAAATTACAGGAACCATGCAAGAGCTGGGAGCAATGCAGGCCAGCGTACACCTGGCACGGTACCATGGCAAATGCTCTCCATGGTATGCCCCTCTGGCAATGTGGCTTTAAAGAGGCATTAGAATGTTATGGAGAATGACAAGCAAATCAGCCTGAGGCTCCAGAAGCCAAATCCTTCCACCAAGTGTTATAACTTCAAGTAGTCATTAAGATAAAGATAATGAAACAAAAGTGTACATACTTGAATAAGAGCAGCAAGAGTAAGATTGCTGCAGCCGCTTCTAAAGGGACCGTCTCTAAAGGGAGCGTCTAAAAACTCTGGTGGAAACTTAGCATCAATGCCAAGTCCTCCAAATTGCCAGTGGGTGAGGGCACAAATCTAAGGTTGAAAACCTATTAATGTGATTGAAATGTGGCACACAAAGACCAACATTATTAAGGACACCTGTGGCAGAAGCAGCTTCTGTATTTAAATGCAGCTTTTTGAAATACTCTAACCTCAATCTGTCAAGTGACTAGAATTTTACTAGACCAGGAACATAATGGGCACTGGCAAGACATGAAAATGCCAAAACATGTTTTAATAGCATCTCTGAAAACGCCTAGGGCAGCAAAAGGTTAGTCTGTGATAAAATTCACCTTTTGAAAAGGACAATTCTCAATACAGAATTCTCCTCACAAGGAATATAAATCCTATTACAAGAACTCACCCTGGAAAAACAGCATTTAGATAAACAAGCATCTAAAATTTTTCTACCCTAGTGATTAGCTTTATTCTGTAATTTTGCAACATGTGTAAAAGGCCATGGTCAATAAACCTGCCTACAAGAGACAGAATTTGTCATACTAGTATACAAAAAAAAAAAAAAAAAAAATGGACAGCTTAATAACACTAATGGAAAAATGAAATTTAAATATCAGGAAAACAATAGAAAATGTAATAAAATGCTTGTGTAACTTTACAAAATTATACAAATGATTTCTGTTAAAAGTTATAAAGAACAGGGCTCAAGACCAAAGCCAAAGTTAGATAATAAAAATGAACACTCTACAAGTCACTAATCATTTTATAGTAGCCTAAGAAAGAATAATTTGTCTGGTAATGATAGCAGATGCCTTTAATCCCAACACTCAGGAGGCAGAGAGGCAAGTGGATCTCTAAGTTCTAGGACAGCCAGGACTACAGGGAAACCCTGACTCCAAAGGTAATAGTAATTATTATTTACTGAATCTGCTTCCTTGAAACTTGTTACTTAATTTATGAAGCCAAATTCTGAAGTGTCTTAATTTAATTATCAGTTATCAATCGTTAAAATAATCACTAAATTCAAGGGATGAGTAACTATAGCTAATTGGTATGAGGTTAAAATTTTTTTAAGTTTTATTTATTTTATGTATATGAAGCTCTAGGCTTTATGACAGAAAAGGGCATCAGATCCCACTATAGATGATTGTGAGGCACTGAGTGGTTGCTAATTTAACTCAGGTGCTCCGGAAGAGCAGCCAGCGCTCTTAATTGCTGAGTCCTCTTTCCAGCCCCCAGGTTAAACTCTTCATTCACATTTTATTTCTTAGATTCTTCTTTTGTGTTTATTGATTATAGGATGGCAGTGTTTACCCTGCGATTTCTACAAGCTTCTTCTGTGGACAGGTTGTAAATGTCTACATGACTCAGTGTCAAGCTTGAGGCCCCACAAAGCCTCTTTGGAATGCTCTGGGTCTAATCATGCTTTTACTATGAAGTAGGCACACACTAAGGTCATTCACAGGCCTAGCTTGTGAATATAGGCATTATTTATGTGAACTAGAAGACATAATTTGAGTGTGTAGTCCTATGCATACTCAGTGTGAAATGAAGGAGAAACTCCCTAACAACAAAGACCAAACAGGAGATTCATTTTCTTGCTTTGTTTTGAACAGTCTAGCTATGCGGCTTTCAGGCTGGCTTTAGATCCACTATTCTCCTGCCTCAGTTCACAGATGATGGTACTTTCAAGAGTCAGCACACCTAGGAAATGCATCAGCAAATTATTTTGTGGATTCCAAATCTTAGGAGCTATGAGTTCCAAGTGAGCCCTAAACCAACATTTCACGCAGATTTGAGTTCCAGGATTTTACTACAGTAAACCCAAATGTCATTTGGCCTCAGGAGGCATGTAAAGAACCACTGCCCTTTTGGATAAGGCTGTAATAAATAAAAACACAGGCCCAATCCCAACAGAAATGACAGGTGTTTACCTGGTCTGAGAGTGTACAGGCCTTTCACAATATTTGCCATAGTTGAAGGTGTGACCTGAAATGGTGTTGACTGGGCTTCTAAAAGTAAAGCTGGAATAAGAAGAAAAAACAGGTAAAAAAAAGAAAAAAAAAAAGAAAAAGAAAAGAAAAAGAAAACAAAAGAAGAAATAAACAAGAAAAAGAATTTTTAAAAAAGAAAGAAAGAAAAAAGCATGTAACACTTGCTAACAGTAAAAATTTCTCTCAGTATTTCTAAGGCTGAATGGTAAACACCACGAGAAAGATCAGCACAAGACAGAAGATTACAAAAGCCTTCAGCACAGCACTTGATAAAACAGGTATCTGCACTAGTTTGCTCCAGTACTAATCATCGAAGAAGTGCATAAGAATCTTGAGAAGTAATGCCTTCTAAGAGAAACAAAACAGCTCTGGGGACACCATTAATTAGCTCAAAGTGCCTGCCTGTATTGGGGGTGGGGTGGGGAGGGAGGAATAACCATTGCCCTTCTTTCTTCAAATCACCCCTGTCTAAAATGCTTCGATCAGAAATTGTTTTGGACTTTATTGGCTGAGCAACCCTAATTCAACAAATTTGGAAAACTTGAATTTCTTTCGTGCTCAAAAATCTACACATTTCAGCTGAGAATGGTGGCACATACCATTAAACCAGGAGCTCACAGGCAGAACTAGGCAGATCTCTCTCAACCAACAGTAATTTTACTAACAAAGACCACACTCACAAAAACCATAGCTCCATCTTCAAAAATCTTCCTATGCATAAAGCCAGAGATGACAATTCACCAATTCTACTTCAGCAACTTTGAAACTAACCTTGACTTTTGACTCTAAACAGAGTCAGCTTTCTTTTAAATTACCTAATTTCCTCTATTTTTAAAACAAATATTAACTTCAATAACACTTCTATTATATTGTTAACAGATACTAATTCCATGTTTATTGGACAGAGCAAGCACTACAATAGTTCATTTGTCTCTCAAAGATTAAAAAACAAAAACAAAAACACCCACTATGTATTTATTACCAAACAAAAAAAGGGGAACTAAATGAAGGGATTTTATAAGCCAGGTCTGTAGTTAATTATTTTCCTTTATCCATGTCATATTTTTAAAAAGACCTACTTACTTTAAAGATTTGGGAACTTCAGACATAGGGTATGACTTGCTGCTTTGTTTATTCTTTCCATCTCATCACCCACATATAGTTTTGATTTTGAATGACAAATTTTAAGGATGACAAATGTGAACTGTCATTATGATGCTTTAAAATCTAATGTTTAAAAACTGAAATTCTAATGTGTTCTGAAAGCCTTATGTACTTAGCATGTACCTCAAATGTAGGTGCTCTTTTTTTACTAATCTTTGTTCCCAGTTTTTAACCAATACTTGAGGCCTTCACACTTAACAGCATACTCAATATATGGCTAAGTACTGACCTCTGTCAACATTCCCTACCATAATTTCTATGTCAACCACACAGCTATGAAGAAATGGCTACTTTTAAAAAGACATACATGGCATATGAAATGTGTATAAATAATTTGAGATGAACTATAAATAATTATATTCAAGGGTAACTATTACTACAAGCCGAGAATGAGTTCAGTTTGATAGTGTTTGCCTACCATGGACAAAGTCCTAGGTTTGACTCCCAGCACCACATAAACCAAGCATGGAAAGGGAAAGCAGGAGGATCAGAAGCCAAACATCATCTGTACAAGAGTTTGTCTCAATAAAGCAAACAAAACCTCCAAACCTAAGGGGGAGAGGGGTGCTGTCTTCTCTATCTATACTCTTAGAAGAAAGCATTTAAGTTTAAAGGATGTTCCAACCCCGCCCCCTAAAGAACTGGGATTTGTAAAGGATGCCAGAGAGTGGGTGTTTACTGGACCCAGAAAGTTCTGGCCTTTGCTTTATCTAGACAAGTATTTCATATGGTTGGGGAATTGACATGGCAGTCTTTCCATGGTTGATAAATAAAGCTGTTAAAGCTGTTTTGGCCTATGGCAAGGCAGGGTAGAGCCAGGTAGAAACCCAAGCAGAGATACAGGAGAAGGGCAGAGTCTGGGAGCAACATGCAACATACCAGAGTATTCCAGTAAGCCACGGGCCATGTGGCAATGCAATAGAAATGAGTTAATTTAAATAAAAGAGCTACTTAGTAATAAACCTGAGCCACCGGCCAAGCATTTATTATTAAGTCTGAGTGACTATTTATTTAGAAACAGCTGCACCGTGGGACTGGGTGGAACAGAAAAGCCTGCAGTTCCAGAGAACTTTTATTCCCTCTGAACCATGTACATACTACCACAGAGATACTGGTTTTACATGCACTGATGCTAGTCATATGTTGTTTTTTAGTAACTGGTTTCTTCTGAAAGCCATATATCAACAACAGGGTGTTTCAACAGTCCTCTTACTCACAGAAAAAGATCATTAGGTGTTAAGCCTAGGTGTAGACCTCTAGTTCTAATCTCTCTTCCCATGTTATGGCATTAAATTCTTAAGTATACTTGCTTCATCTAGCGTGTGTAGTGCACAAATATGCATGAATGAATGCCACAGTGCATGTGTGGTGGTCAGAAGACAATTTGTGAGAGCCACTTCTCTCTCTACTCTCCTATTTCCAAGAATTAAGATGGTCAGGCTTGGCAGAAACTCATCTTACTGCCTTCATTGTCCAGGGGATTCTTTTACTAATTTGTTCTGGAAACGAAAGCTAAAAATTACATGAATTCAAAATGTGTCATGGTCTAAAAGTAAACTGTATCTTTAACTACAAAAGTCAACACATTATACTTTCTTTGAAAATGTCCAACCTGATTACCACAGACTTATTGTCATATACGCTCAGTATATAACCATGCAAATCTTTCAATTATTTTAAGTCCTCCTAGATCTACATTCAGTTTCATTCAAAGTAAAAACTAATTTTTAAGGAAAGCAATTTTGTTACCAGTCAAAAAGAAACTAACCTTACTTACAATAATAACACTCTTCTTATTCACAAAATATTAATTCATAAATGAAGGCATCGAGTGCCAATTTGTTTTTAGCATATAGGATTTTCTTTTTCCTGCCTTACTAGTTTAACCCTCACACACTAGTTTGAAATACCTCCCATTGAGAGACAGAGGTCCATGATAGGCCCTCACAGTTTAGGCCCTGTGATTGCTCACCCAATAGAATGTAGTAAATTTTTTTTGAGCCCAGGACTTTAGACACAGTTTCCAAGTTTCTACTTTCTGAATATTTGAATGTTCACTGTTGGAGAAAACCTAAGAAATTAAAAACCACACTAACTTGGCAGTCATGGAAGCCAGCAGTGAGAAGCCCTAGTTAGACCACATCAGCCAGCGTAAACAGGGCAGATAAACTGCTTCACCAAACCTTTTTCAGATTACACAGCAAATTAAAAATAAAAGATGCCTGCTAGCTGAAGCCACAATGTTTCCAAATAACAGTAAATGGAATAGTAGTATCTCAAAGTGTGTTAAAAGTAGTAAAAAGAAGGAAACTAATGTTCAGATTTTTAGAAAAATCAGACACTGGCTGTACTTACTTGTGCTGTAGCTGCTAGAGTCAAAACACCAAACCTGAATAATTGTTTTGACTCTCTGCGTAATGACCACCTACCTGGTGTCATGAACTGTAAATACTAGAACAGATTCTGCTACATGTAAAGCTGTGTGTGCCTGTTCAAAAATCCTTGTGATGGTGATCTATACAACTTGTAAAAAAATATTCAGAGAGCTCCCTTGTTCTTGGACCCAAACTATGTAGATAGCAGTCACTTTCTGCATCTTCCACTGTACAATACCCACTAACTGCTCAATAAATTCAATGAGTATCTAATGTGTTTAGTTTTATCCCATTTACAAAAATTTAAGGGAAACCTTGTCACAAAAAAAAAAAAAAAAAAAGGACTTTTTCTATTTTCTGGAAAAACACTGTCTCCTTCATGAAAACCCCACACTAGAAAGTACTCTCATCCAATCTAATTACAATATCCTATTCAATATTCTTTCCATTTGCCCCATAAAGTTAACTTACAAATTATTAGCAAATATAAAGACATATTTAGAAAGAAAATACATATTTCTATCAGACACAGCATTTCTTCATAAATATTTACAAAGAAAATGTGCTTTAAAAAGTTAAAAACAATGTCAGTATCCAAGACTATAACTAATGGCGTGAAGCTGGGACAGTAATAAATCTCTGTAATTCCAGAACTTGGACTTAAAAGTTCTAAGCAAAACCCTCTCTCAAAACAAGAGGCCTATCAAGGTTAATGTACAAAAATTCTAAGTATCTGTCCAGTTGTAAAAACAATGCATGCTATAGGTCCAAGCCTCTGAACCTCTATCTTGAACTCTGGACTCTCTGGGAGCAAGACAGTATCAACCTAATCTATACATTTTGTAATAACTGTGCCTTGCAAAAGAAAAACTGATCCAATATATAAATCCCTTCTCTTAAAATCAAAAATGACAAAAACAGAGTTTGTGAACAAGCTTAAAACAATTACTTTGTAAATGTCAATAAACTGAAAAACTGCAAAAAAAAAAAATATATATATATATAAAACTATAATTTACATTAGTACCAAATTACTAAAGAATGCCTTGCTGGATACTGACCAAAACATGAGCTTTTTTTGAAGGTGTTAGGTGACAAGTGATGGTATACCTCAAGTCCACTTGAGGAGGGACACTCCTTTAGATGAAAAGGAAACGGTGTCACCTATTGTGAGCCAGAGATCAGGAAAGACTGTCTGAGCTTGGCACCTGCATCTTACTTAGCTATCGATACAGCCATGGTAAATATTGCTAAACCACATAAGGCCAGCAGCTTGCTAACAAGATGAATAGCAGCCACACTAGACTAACAGTAGAAACCAGACAGGGGCCTGTGCTGGCCTTCTTCACAGACAGTGCAGTTACTAACATGTGACCCTGCCAATCATATTACTGATCAGTGAGGAAATGGCTAGACAGAGCAGGCCAGGCACAAGACAGTGTCTAAAACACAACCTGCCTAAGTATCCCAGAAAAGATGAGTAACTCATAGTTTCAATCCCCAGGTTTGTCTCTATACACTGAGGTAGGTTTTACTACTTCCTGCTCTCTGGTTCTAGAGATGTCAATAATGGAGTCTGGAAAACAGTGTTCTCAGATAATAGGAAAGTTTAAGAATGAGCTGGAAAAGGGAGGGAGGAAAGAAAAGGGAGACCATGGCTACAGCTGGCTCACCCCCATAAGAAGCTAAATCACTTACGCATTAGGTTGTAAATGTGCTTGTCTGCAACATGTTCCGTAAACAGCTTTATAAGATCGTCTTTTAAGTCTCTGTTAAGCTTTGTTTCTATGTAAAACTTATTCTGAAAAAAAAAAAAAAGTTTTTATACAAGGGAAAGTGATCATCCCCATAAGTGAGTGAATTATAGTTTTAGGGAATAATGTATTAAAATTAAATAATTAAAATATTATTAAATTAAAAATAATAAAAATACCCAGCAAACAGTAAAACCCTGCCATTCCTAGTGTTTTTTGCATGAGATTGAAAGGCTGGAAGATACCAACAATCCTTCAATTGCTCATCACAAGCATTAAAAGGCAATTCTGAGAAACTCAGGAAAGGTACTCCTCTGTATCCAAGCTGAGGGCAGTCTCTGCCAACATGTCCTTCAGCAATGGTCAGATACCCTAACCAGGCTGAGAGCAAACAGTGCTTGAATCAAGTTGTTCACTTACATTCAAAACAAGATGAGCTGTATGGTATACATGAAGGGACAAAACAGAGCGCTGGACTCCAACACCCCTGGGAACTGCCTATGCTCAAGGTCTCAAAGTCTGTTTCCTTATTTACCAGTCACTTTTAAACAAGTTTCTCTTTCTTGCAATCAAAATCAGCCTAACTAGGAAAAAAACAAAACAAAACAAAACAAAAAAAAAAAAAAAAAGTAAAACCATTAAATTTGTTCATGTTTAAATGCTAGCCCACTCTCTTAGTTCTGAACAGTGTTTTCCTTTCTTTAAAAGAAATAAAAAGCTATAGAAAAGAGGCAGTGGCGGCTTCAATCTCAGGCAGAGGGAGGCGGCTCTCCAGGAGTTGGAGGCCAGCCTGGTCTACAAAGCACAAGTAGCAGAGCAGGCAGAGCTGCTGCACACAGAAACCCTGTCTCAAAAACAAACAAACAATATAAAACCAATGTACATGGTTGGTTAAAAACTACAACCATGACAACAGATGGGTAATCAAATGCTTCCTAGAGTTTACCCTGTGGTCTACCTCTCCTGGTCCCTTTCTGTAGAGAAAAGCATACGGTACACTTGCAATGAACCACTCTTGGCATGTGAAGATGGGACCCCTACGCTCCTTGGAAGAAAGCACCTGCTGAAAAACACAGCACACTGCTTATACCTTACCGAGCTCTTTTACCCTAATGCTAGGTTTTAGGAGGCTGTTCTTCACAAAAATATATAAACATGCCATTATTTTTAACTGTATGTTTTCCAAAAATTGTCCCCAACTGATTACAATACAAATATGTCCAATATTCTGTTACTAAAAAGAAATTACCACATAATACACAGCCATCTATTTATGAGTTTTAGATAAAGTTTTAAGTATTCTAAAGCTATTTTACCAATTTATAATTCACTTTAAGTTATGCCCCTATTTCTCTACAGCTGCATTACAAATGAGCATTTCCAAAAACTTTTTAAAAAAATAACTAACTTGTACTTAACAAAGATGTTGGATATATTTTCCTTTTTTATGCTAAGTATTTTCTGTGAACTATCCACAATTCATACCCTTTGTCAAAATAGAATTACTGACTTTTATCTAAGTAATCCATGAAAACTAGTTAGCAAAGAAAATAAACCTATGTCTTATGTTTTGCAAACTTCTCCACCTATTTTTGTTATTTTGTTTCATTCTTACATCAACTAATACTATACTTCGTGATAACATTTAAAGGTTTTCTCTCCTCAAAAATATGGGAATGGGACCTGTGTGGATAGGGGCATAGGGGCTTCTGGGCAGCACAGGAGATAAGAGAGGGTTGGAGGAGAAAGTAAATAATTTATTGTATATACAGTATGAAATTGGACATAATTTTTTCTTGTTCTACTTTTAGGCTCATTCCATTTAGATGTGCTATAAAGAACATGGTGTTGATTAGACCTTTTACTCTCATAAACCCATCTTTAATCTGACTCAGGAATAGAAATTGCAACATATAGAAAACCAGAATATAGTTAACCCCTCATAGTTTGGGAAAGGTAAACAGAGCTCTAACTTACCATATATATGAAAAGAGGCACGATGCTCTGCAATGCTCCCATATACTGTCCCAGAGCTATATTAAATCTTTCGATATAGAGGTCTGGAGGGCTGGCCTGTAAGAAAGATTAACATAAGCACTGAGAACCAGGTCAAAGTCCTTCAATCTCCTGCAATAAATAAAAACAAAGTCAGAAAGAACCCAAATTCCCAGTTAAGTGTGGGAGTGTTGTATGAGAGAGAAACAGAGGGAACAGGATGAGAGGGGAGAGGGGGAGAGGAGTGGAGGGAAGGGAAGGGACGGGGAGGGGAGAAAAGAAAGGGAGGAGAAAGATTTACAAGCTCAACTAAAATGTAATTCCTGAGTCAGTGTGTTGGGGAATGGCAATGAATAAAATACAAAAAACATATTCCACATAAGGACTGTCCTTTGGAAATTTTACCACATATGACAATCAGACCTTAAAGACAACATCCTGATGGCAAGCTCTGCCACACTAGAACTCCTAAGTAACAGATCAAAAATAAATAAATAAATAAATAAATAAATAAATAAATAAATAAATAACGGGAGTGGAAAAATAACTCAGTGGTTAAAATAACTCAGTGGTTAAGAGTGTTTGCCACTCTCCCAAATGACCTAAGCTCGCAATCACTTATAATTGCAGCACCAAAAATATCCCAGCCCTCTTCTGGTACCCACTCACCACCCCCCCCAACCACACACACACAAGTACACATAAAAGAAATTAAAAATCTTTTAATAAGTGAAATTATAGAAGCCATGTCTTAAGCTATGAGAAATGGTCAATGGTCTAATACTCTTAAACTGTTTTAATTTCTTAAATGTGTAATTTGTAAAAACACCTCATAAATTTTTTCACTTATACCTAGAAACTTAGAATATATGTGGGGAATTATCTCTAGGTCTAGTGTTTTCTTTCCAATTCTTTTCTAGTCCTCTTAACTGACCATGGAAAAAAGGTTTTCTCCATCATACATAGAATATAAGCAGCTCAGAAATATTAAACTGTTTTAATCAGATGCTGGTGATTCTGAATTATTTTGTACCAAAACTCCCTTCTCAGTATTCTGAAAGCCCGGGCCTTTTATTATAACTTAGACTTCTAAATTTAGGGCACACACTATCTACTACTTTTCTGCTCCCACAGCCTATACCTTCTTTCACACTGCTCAGCAAGCACATGGACCATCCATCTATCCAATCCCAAGTGTTTTTTTGACCAAACAGCTCTCTCCTAGCCCTCAGCAGACTTTATTCCTTCAAGATTTGTAACTTCCTCAAAATAATCTATGAGCAACTCACTTACCGTTCCCACTAGTCTCTGCCACTAACTGCAAGAGCCCCCTGAGAGCCCCCTGAGGCAAGATCTGTGTGTGTCCTACCTGTTCCTCTCTAATTTAACCAGAATGACGAGCATACAGGAGACAGGGATGTATTTTTCAAGAACAGTCTTTTGAAATCTAAACTTTACATCTAAATCTAACCTAGTTTTATGGTAGTGAGCAACTAATTCATCCCTTTGAATTTTAAATTTCAATTTCCATACTGAGGAACCACTACACTGTTTCTAAGGATGTGTCTCACTGCTGGGCAGTGGTGGTGCAAGCCTTTAGTCCCAGCACTCAGGAGTCAGAAGCAGGCGGATCTCTGTGAGTTGGAGAACAGTCTGGTCTACAAGAGCTAGACCTGAACAAAAAAAAAAAAAAAAATTTCCTATCTATATGAATAGGAGTAAACAGCAACCGTGTCCATGTGCCTAACACTTAGAAAAATCCAGTAATATTTTAAAAAGCAATCTTTGTCAACTTGGGGAAATGGTTCCCCATTGTGGGCAAACATAACCACCCTAAATAAGTAGACTGGCATGCCCCATCTTCCCCAAAGCAGCTTCAAACAACTCCGGAAATGATATTCAGCATTCAATGAAGTAAATTTTACATGCACAGAAGAAAACATCTGAAAAGCTGTTAAATTTTTTTTTCCTTTTCATGAAAAGGACACTGATCAAAAGGCACATTTAACAGCAAGAAAATAAATAAAATTGAGCTCTTTATTCCTTTACAAAATCCCCAAGCCTCAAAGGCTAGGAATATTAAAAGTACTTTTTGTGCTGAATCAAATGTCAGAACACTTAGCTTTTTACTTCTATATTTCATGCAGCACTTACTCAAAGCCCTTTGAAATGACAAGATGATAAATTATGACAGTCTGAGAAAGTATAGCCCATCTTTTCCAGGAACCTAGAAATAAATGTCATTCTGAAAACACTAATCAAACTGTTCCTCTTTAAAACTTACATTCAGTCCCCACTTGGGGGGGGGGGAGGGAGGAAATGCTGCCAAGTTTGAGTTTCACTATTCCAAAATGGCAGTTATTTGGCTTGGATATTAATTGGGGGGGGAAATGCCCTCACATCAAATAAGAAAAAGCAAACTGAGGAAAAAATAATTACTCTGAGCTTCTTCCAATCTTTAGGGAAGTAGTGCAAGTGCTTGAGTGGGACCTAGAGCCTCACCCAGTGCCAGAAAAAGTGCTCCGCCACAGCCACACTCTCGGCTAGTTCAAGCGGGTTTAAAGTTTTACTTTCACTTCTTTCTCCCTGAAATTACTGCCCCTTAATTCTTTTCTACCCTTTCAAAATATATTGCTTGTAGAAATAAGAGTCTAATAACTCTTTACACAAATGTTAAGTTATAGTAATGCCAATGTATACTTTTCCTAACAATCTATCTTGGAGTAGGTTTTATTCTGTTGAGTCTTGGAACATTTTGGTGTCTGGAACCATATGCACTATTTAAAATAACTGAAGATGGGCTGGAGAGTGCCTCGGCACTTCCTGCTCTTGCAGGAAACCCAGGTTCAGTTTCCAGCACACACATGTCATTTCACAAAGGATCTGATGCTATCTTCTTGTCCACAGGTTTCTGTACACACATGGTGCCCATAAACTCACTTGAGTGCACAAATACACATGAAAATAATGATAAATCTTTAACCTAAAGGCGCCAAAAAGCCTTTATTTATATGTGGGTTACATTAAATATTTTTTTTCTATCTGGAATTAATGAAGGTACAGTGAAGAGTGCCTGTACTCCCAAGGAGGCTGAATCCCTTGAGCACAGGAGTTTGAGAATAGCCTGGGTAACACGGTAAAAAAGTATGGCCTGAAAACAAAGAAAACTGGACTTTATCAACTCTTAACCATCAAGAGCCCAGGCAAGGTGGATTTAGTAAACATTATACTAACTATCACTCGCCAAAGCATATACAATTCCTAAAACCAAATTATAAACATTTTAAGATGAGCAACTTGGTCAGCAAAGGTGTTTAGATAGACATACTAATTCCTAACACATAACTCTACTGTCAAATGCAAGAATGGGACAAATGAATAATTGCCCTTTGGGTACTGCCAAAGTGGGAAATGAAAATCACTGAGACTTTGAAACACAGCATGGAGAGTGTACATGAACAGATCTAACTAGGTACAACAGATCTCACTAGGTACAATGAGCTTCACAGACTGAGAGTCCAGAGAACATGACCCTCAGTTTTTAATAGACATATGAAGCCAAGGTATCTGAATCCTATGGTGTGTCAAGAGGAAGAACAGATGAAGCAGGATGTTTTTACAGCAAATGAGGGAAAGGAGCCATTTTGAAGGAAGCTATAAGAGTTCACCAAAGAATGAGGCTTAGTTTTGGAAAAAGCAACTTCTTTCCCAGAAAGCAAGGTACCTCTGAGCTCAGGCATCCAAGGACGAGGACCAAAACAACCCCAGCTTTGTGTGACACCTTTGGAATTCTGAATCCATACAAAAGCTATTCAATTTAAAATTAAGGCTGTGCTGTATTTTTTTTTTTTTCCTCACCACTAAGGTCTTCAAAACTACACTAGTACACACATTTCTTACAGACTTCCCTAAACAAGTTTGTTTGACCCATATGCACCAGATGTACTTGTTCACATGTGGGCAGGAGGTTCACAGGCTAGAGGTTCAGGATGCATGCTTGCCCTGGATTGAACCTGATGGGAAATGAAATGGGTTTTGCATCATAAGCTCTTGCCATACTTGATTCTGGACCAGGAACCTGTAGAGAGATACGCACTTTGTATGCCCCTGTGGCATTGACCACACCCATTGGGGGTGGGGACAGAGGTGGCTGTGACCTGGGGCAACTGGGTCTGGGGAAGGGGTCCCAGAGCACTCTCTTGCTTGCAGCATGGGGACAGAAGAGCACCCGAAGGCATCCTTGGGACCAGGAACCTGCTGGTGTTCATCTGTCTGTTATAAGTTATTTCTCCCTGAATAAACATCTATTCAGTTTATCTGTTTTTCCTGATCCTTATTAAACCACGATATGAACCTGGCCAGAGACCACCCACCTGGCCAGTATTTAATTAAAGCTTGCTTCAAATTTGGATTTAACTGTGGTTGTGGTCTTACTCTCATTGGTGGGATTAACAATACTAATAGTCTAAAAAATGGAAGACATGTTTATGGATAAGGTTATGTTCTCAGGAAGGGGACTGCAGAGAATGATGCTTTCCACACCTCTTATGTTTTTATCTTTATATTAGCTATGGAGGCTTGACTAAGAATGGCCCATATAGGCTTATATATATGAAATACTTTAGTCCTGAACCCAGAACCAAAGAAAACACCCTGACTCTGAAACCAGAGCCAAATAAATATACTTTGGCCCTAAAACCAGAGCCAGTGAAAGAAATATTCATACCATACACCTGAAAATAAAGCGAAAAAGCTAAAAGGCCAGTGAAAGAAACAGTCTGGCCCTGAAACCAAAGTCAACTCTGCTCCTGACCAACTAATCAACCCCTGAGCAGCAAATCTCCCTGGGAAAACTCCACCTCTAAGAAGCTCTATGTAAGTTCCCCTGCCAGTTCAGTTGCAGGCTGTCCTACACCACAGTGGCAGAGACAGAGACAGCCACTCTGCTGGACTCCAACTCCTCCTTCCCAAATCTCTTAAAAGAGTTTTTTTTTTTTTTTTTTTTTGGGGGGGGGAATCTTTTGCTGGCACAGACTAGAAGAACCTTTACTGAGACGTTCACTTAGGGAAGCTGAGCA